TGAGACAGAGGAGTATATCTGTGGCTTTAGTGTTTGGAGTCTTGTATACAAGCAGTTGTACACTGCCTTGAGCTTTCTCCTCCTGGCACATCTAAAAGCTTTGTAACTGAGTTACACTGTTGGGACATTGTGCCAAAGTTTGACTTAATGTAATTTCAATATTACAGATTTTCCAATTACATAGTTTGATATTGGCTGATTCAGTTGTAAGGCTCATAAAGTTCTTATTATTCTGCATTTAAAACACATTATTCATAATTTGTTGAAATTTAAGAGGACTAAATAGCCAGTAGATGGCACCAATAAATCCTGTTGTGAGGCTTAAAATTGAAAAGTGTAAGTCTTGACTTTTTCTCAAATGCATTTTGGAAATGAAAGAAACTAGATTAAACAGTGTTATAATTTATACTTTTTACTTTACAGTAATAGTTAGGGAAAGCGATCAGTTTGTAAACAGAATGTTTTTCCGAAGTCAAAACTCTACCATTTAATTGAATACATTAACCCACAAGAAAGAACACACAGATGTGTTACAGTCATTTCCTAGGTATTTAGAAAATCCAGTCATTTATGAGTTAATTCCTTCTGAGTACTTCTCCAGTCTCATGCAGCTGTGTCAGCTTAAACCTTGTTTCTAACACATTTTTTCCACAAAGCCTTTAAACTGTAACCCACCCACCTCAACCCACTACAGCAACAAAGCCTGGAGAAGGAATCATATTGAGAAAGCCAGAATGTTGATGCAATGCCTTGTGCTAACGGCATTACTGGGTTCTTGGAACCCATGTCATCTTCTTCCCTGAAAAAAGCATGACCTGTTTACACTTTAGTCCTTCAAAATATTGTGGCTGTGTGGGTTGTGGCACCCACACATAAGATGTTGATTCTTTTATGCTAGAAGGATATCATCTTTCATTTGTCTGTAAATGACAGCACTGTGCCTTCACAGCATCACTTAATTAAAATGGTGATTATGTTACTAGTATTTCTTTCCCAACAGGTTACCTCACCTAGCCTTGGATATTAAGCACAATGTAAACTACAAAGGAAATACACTTGTAAAGGGTAAACTGTCCTAACAATTGTCAAGGATACCTCATTCTTTGTGGACTTTCAGCAGCTGCCTTCACTTCTGATAAATCTGCAGCCTGTCTGCTTGGGTGAGAGTAACAGTAGCAGCAACAGGGAGTGTTCTTCTTGACAGATCCACTCTTATCTCCTTATTTCTGTGGCTGGAGTGGTACTTACTTTAGACAATGTCACAAAGGGTGGGGGAAAGGCAGTCTGTGTTTTGGGGCATGAGTCATTTCCTATGGAAAACACTTGTACAAACCAAGCACTCTGTTAGAGTGGACAGACAAGGTGTAGTTGATGCTGACAGCAAAACAGAAAGTCCTGGCTTGATGAGGTCTGCTGTAGCTTTGCTTTTTGCTCCCTCCAAAACATTGATGCATTAACTTGAGTTGAACTGTCCTTGTCAATAGTATCTGCAATTACCAAAGCAATATTGACTTCACACACATTTCAAATACTAGTTTTTAAGTTGGTAATTCAAGATACTTATTGAAACATGGGGATTCTGGGGACACAAGAAAACAACAGTTTTGGAAGCTCAGGCACTAACTACTATGAGGTGGTTCATGTCAACCTGTCAAAGGCAGAGTAACGAGCATTCACAGCACTGTTCTTGTGTATTAGTAATTACGCTCATCCCATACCCAGCTAATGCATATTCTCTTCCCATCATAACAATCCTGTGCTGCAGGGACTTCCCAAGTTCTGGGGAACTACATAACAGAGTACCTTGTACCAAAAAACCCAGATCTGTCTGTAAGTACATCCTCCCAACACCTTCTCCTCGTGAGATTTCTGGAGTGGCAGGTTCACTATTTGCTAAAATGAGAAGTAAGAAGTTCAGATAGGAAGCACAAATTTTTTGTTTTCTTTGCTTCACAATTTCTTTAATAGCATTTCTTTTAAAGCCCATAAAGTTATTGTTAAGAGTGAGAAATTATTTACAAAGTGTCATGGTCACTGTATCCATTATCTTTACAAATAGAGCAAGTTGTTTTCTGTCTTTTTTTTTTTGTCACTGTTTATGATAATAATGCTTTTTCTAAGCCTCTTCATGGGTGCTCCTGAGCTATTACAAATGGAAGCATCATGCAGAATACTAAATATGTTTTCAGCTGAGACATACAGTTTTGCCCAGGATTAATGCAGAATACGAAAATGAGTCACACTTTACATCTTACAGTAAATGTAACCACATAAGAACTAATTTCTCAGGTTAATAAAATCTACTGCACTCCAGGATTTGTGTCAGCTCTACTGTTTTAAACCAGGATTTGCAATATATGCTTCTGGAACCAGTTATACCATGTTCTGGGAGATAGTGCTGACCACTGTTAAGACTTCCAAATTATATGAACCTCATTTTCTTAGTCTTCTTCCGTGTCTTTTTATCCTTGCTGTTTAAGATCAACCATTATATCACCAGTCAATGTCTGGAAATGAAACCTTTCCATTCAGGTATTTGTAGTCAGATTATGGAGCCAACTCTGTGAGAGTGAAAGCATTTCAAATACAAATTATGGCATAAAAATAAAATCATAGAATCATAGAATGGTTTGGGTTAGAAGGAGTCCTTGAAGACCATCTAGTTCCAACCCTCTGCCATGGACAGGGACACCTTCCACTAGACCAGGTTGCTCAGCCCCCCACCCAACCTGGACTTGAACACCTCCAGGGATGGAGAATGTGGAATATTGTCAGACAAAAAAATTGAAACAGACAAAGCCAATAATGAATGAGAAAGAAAAAGTTTTAGGATGTGTCAGTAGTAATCTCAGTAGGTCATAAACAGAAAAAATTGCTTCATTAGCAAGGGATTGAGTCTAAGCACAAAAATGCATTTTTTTGACTACATCTAGTTAACATTCAAATTTGTCTTCCCACCTGGCATAGCAGAGTTTCAATAATTCACAAATATCATCAACTATGACTGACAGATGATTTAAGAGAGGAGGAGGCAGAGAAGGGGCTAACCACCACTCCATTATGTATGTTTCCATGATTTTTGTACAAAGTGTCCTGGTTTCATGTTTGTGCCTTCATTTTCTTTCTTGGACTTTCTGCCATGTAACTGCATGTGTTCAACTTGAACAGGAAAGAGGAGGACAAAACACAAAAAGCAAAGCTTTAAATAGATAAGAAAGGCCAGAATGCAAGGGAGAAGGGACAGAGGGACAGGATTATTCCAAGCAGAGGGATGAGAAGCAGAGGAGAAAGGCCAGGAGGCTCTTTGATTCTCTCAGCAGGGTGGACAGGAGGCTGGGTAAGAGTTTATTTGCTGGTTCAGGATGGGAGGGATCTTACAAAGCATCCAAAATGGCAAAGCAAAGCAAATATGTGGCATATAAGCAACAACAAAAGGGAAGCCTTTGATGCTATGTGGGATTTATGCCTGTCTGTGACAGAAATCCTAACCCACCCTTCTCACAGCACCGGGTTTTCAAGGCCTGTGGTCTTCCTTTGCAAACTGGGAATTTAGCTGAGAAATATCCATAAAGCATTCCCTCTTACAAAGGGAAGGTGGAAAGCACTCATACCATCAGCTCCTGGAGAGCTTCCGTGAGAAAAAAAGACACTTGGGGTTCATGGGAAACTTCTCTGGCTTTCCTTGCCAACAGAAGCCTAATCACCATTGTTTGTCTTTGTCCTCAGAGGACCCAAACTGTCCTTGAATGACAGAGATGTCCATGTCTCCTTCCAGAGAGACACTGATGTACATGGTGTGATGCCCTTGTCCTGTAACAGAACACGGCTCAGAGCCTCCCAGTAGCAGAGGACAATGACTTAGCAATGGCTAAGTGTTCATTATCAGGTTTGACTGTTTTGCAAGTCTGACTCAGGGCTTTAATTTTAGTACTTCACTGCTATAAGTTGCATTCTACCTCTGCTGGGCCTTCTGGGCACAAAAGACCACTGCGAGCCACCCTGTGCCACCAGCTGTCACCCCATGCACTGATGATCCTTTACTCAAACTTTGAGGCCGTCTAAGAGCCATCTGAAAGGTTCAGCTGGGAATATGCAGCAAGTACACATTCTCTTGGAACACTCTTTTTCATGGTTGTATATAGTGATAAGTTTGGAACAAGGCTGTAAGTCTGGTCCAACATTTGCAGTGGTAACATGCTGTGGAACTGATAACTTTCATGGTGAAAAGTGAAAATAAGCAAAACTATCCCAGCATAACAGTAGAGGCCATAGGTCTACTGGGCATTTAGATGGAGAGGCTGATCATGTCTCAGAGCTGTTCCAGACCTAAAGATACTGACAGCACTTAAGGGAGTAGGCCAGCAAATCCATCCAAGTCTCTAAATAAGGGAACAGAGACATCCAGGAATGGCAAATGGCACCCCTGTTTACAGAGGTCAAAAAAAGAAGGAAATTCCATACTAAAGGTACTGTAATGCACCACATGGGACCTTTTTAAAATATCAGGAGAACAAAATGGATAGACTAGACAAGATAAAAATCAGTTTAACTCAACCAACTCGATTTCTGCTGGAAATGCAATTGGAATAATGTAACTAAGATTTGTCAGTCTGGCCCTTGGATTCATAAATCCTTCATAAATCCAATTGTACTGTCTCTTTTTTGTGCATCAAATGTCATAACAGCTCACATAAGTACCTAGGAACTTCACTCTTCACCACTCAAGCAGTTATTTGCTCCTGCACAAAGGGAATGAAAATAAATAACAAAGACAGTGTTTTGTTTCTATTCTCCTCTTTGCACTTGCATTATCCTAACACGTGTGTGATTATATTTTGCACCAAATTAATTCAACTTCCTTTGAAAAACCCAAATGAAGATGTTTAAGCAAGTGTTGTGGAGTAATTTATACTAAAACAGATACTAAATTTTAATAGAAGACAAAAAACAAGTTCTGTTATCATATCCAAAATTTTAATGTATGAATTGATTTACACAGATATAACAAGCATTAGGATTTAATCCAATGGACTGAGATAATCCCAGAGTTCCATAATTCCATAATCCATATGTTTTCCTTGTTCCATTTTTCTCCATGTGCCTTTTCTGGCAAGCTATAAAAGTTTCTGCATCTCTGCCAATTGCGTTGTGTTTTTTCTTCAGCCACCAGCAAATACAAGGTTTCTACTCTCCTGGGAGTAAAGTGAATGATTCAGCTAAGCTTTTGTTTGAGCTCTACGAGAACTGTGTTAGTGAAGCTGTTGAATGAAGGAACAAACTCTCAAATTTGGAAGAATCTAAAGTTGCTTTATATTCAGGAGCTCTAGCTGTGTCAGTTCTAAGTGCTGGTTTTAAGCTGTTTCTGAATTTGAAAGCAATAAAAAGGGAAGAAAATTAAACCATTACTGGAGCTTTCTACTTTCATACTGATTTGTGGTAAAGCGGCACCGTTTCTTCTGGATTATGGACTATTGTGGCAGAACAGCAGCAGCATAATACATGTTGACTTAATGAAGAAAGAGGCTGTTTTCACTTGTGAACACACAAAAGTAATTTTTTATATTGTACAAACTATATAAAATTAATTTTTATATTGCATAAATTATATAAACAAAAATACAAACACTGATTTTTGCCCACAGTTAAGTCACCTTATATCACATTGCTCATATAAAAGGATTAATGAGAATGTGCAACACACACTCATTTCAAAGTCTTTATGTTAACAAAGTAGACAACGTGCTATGCAATGGTCTTAGAAGTGAAAATTAGTGTCACTTGAATCAAAACTTACCTTTGGTAGGTGCAACTGAAATGGTTAATGGAGGAAGAAAGATGTCACACAAACCTATCCCCACTGAGTTATAAACTGCGATTTCAGATATATGGAAGAAAATCTTAGAGTAGAAACAATTTATACTAAATTGCACTGGTATGACTAAGCAAAGCTTGAACTTGTCTGTCATGTGAAGAAGGAAATCATTATTTCTTTTGACCTCAAAGACATCCATGCCAGCAGGGATGGAAGGTGCTATTACTCTTCTAAGAGTCAGGCAGGCAGTCTAAAAGCAGTGTCAAGATATATTTCATTGTGCTACTCATGTCAGAAAAGTGGTCATCTGGGCTTGCTCAAGCAAATCTCCAACAGGTTTTTTGAAAAGACAGGAATATATCTAAGAATTCAGTAGCACTGACTGTTCAAGTATGTGAGATAAACCCCATTTGAATTTGACGAGGAACAGTTCAAAGAACTGAGCAGATGTGAAAGAGGATATCCTGAGCTAATAAGAAAAGATCATAAATTTACAAATGGAGAGGTCCATAAAGTGATGATAAATGTGGTGGATAAGAACCAAGAGTATCTCCTCTTGGAGAGCAGCCTTCCAGCTGCCTCAAAAGCACGCAAAATAAAAGCCTTCAGTTATTAACACCTATGAGAGTGGACTTGCAGGACACAATGCGCTTGAGACAGTGGGAAAGATTTCTCTGTTAATCTGAGTGAATAATCACAAGTAACCACATGCATTTGAGAAATTACCATTCCTTGATTTTGAATGATTGACACCCCACCTGACAGAGGGTGACTGACCATCTCTGAGGTAACTTCTCGTTGCTTTGCAATGTAACTCCTGGGCTTAAACCACCAGTGAAAGGTTCTCTGATACATGAAAAAGCCAAATTTGAATCACTGCTGGATCTTCCATGGAGGATAGAGTGAGTATGGATCACCTGCTTCCGTCATGAGATATGCTTAACTTGAAGGGCATTGAGTCAGGGAAACAGTGCTGACATGGCTGGGAAAAAGAGCTGAGACAAAACTTTCCAGCAATTGTTGGTCACAGAAGTGCTTGGAGACATTTGAGAAATTATCTCCCTTTGCTTGCAACCTGACTTTGTATGCTGCTTATAAATAAACAGGACTACTTCAGAAATATCTGGATCTGTCATCAAAATGTCCTCCTAAATGAAATTAATGTGAATTGTGCACTTTGATTAAAAAGGGGTAAGTTCTGGAAGGTGGTCATGGTCAGTTCTGGAAGGATTAAATTATTGATTTTCCCAGGCATACAATTAAAAGCATCTCAGACTTTAGAAATTTATAGGGGTGGAGATAAATGAAAAACTTTGCCTTTCATGTGAGGAGTATCATATGAACTCTCCTTAGTCCAAATTCTGTCCAGATCCAAGTTCAGTCATGGGCAGCTGGCAGCTATACTTCAGAAGGCATCAGCCCCATTGTAGCTTATCTTCAAAATGCTTCAAAATCCCTTCTAGAGAAGGCAAGCTGCATCCACACTGCATAGCCAAGGAGCTTGCTTGGTCTGTATCCAGCAGGCTTTCCACCAGCTCACCCCTGCCCTTTTCTGGTGTGCTGTGTATGGCACTTTCCTGCCCAAGTATGGCAAATGACCAGGATAATGGTGTTGCTGATGGGACCAAGATGTGCTAGGGCCATCTGGGATGATCAGGGTTGGATACCAAGTTCTTGTATGGGGGAGCATCTCCAACAATTGATGGGGGTGGCTGGCAGAAGCCCATGGCAGAGGACAGTGCTCTGAAACCTCATCACCCTTAAGACTGCTGATTTATTGCTGATCATGATGGAAGTATTTGAAGCCATAATCCAGATTGTTTCTCCTTAAGTGTACTGAGTGTGTTTGTAAGTTGGTGACTTACCAGTGATATTACCACAACTAGTAGATATGGAGTATTTTGCCTGTGTCTGTGTCTGTGTGTCTTCTGCTGGGTTGTTCTAGTTGGAAAGTGACAGAGTAGGCTCTAAAGCAAGGGTGTGTATGCAAGTAGGTTGTGCTGATAAAACATTCATTAGGTGATAGAAGGCTACAACTTTATAGTGGTTGAAGGGAAACAGGATTGTAGCAGGGTAAGAGTAGAGGCATTCAACATGCGAGTGCAGACGGATATTAAGGATGCCAGGACTGTAAGCGCAATTCGCACATGGTCAGTTATCAGTCACTAGAGAACAACCCTGTGGATTGGATTAAATCTGTTTTAGGGATAAAAAAAGAGAACAATGAGCCTCCAAAATCAGTAAAATATGCTGTATATAGCAAATTCAGACAAATCATGGAATTGCAAACCAAGGAGGAAGGAGCAAGTTAGCAGATGTGTTGGAAAACATAAAAACACCAAGGGGCATTCTGAGGCAGAGTTATAGGTGTGGTGTGTGTTACTGATTTCCCCTCCCAATTTTCAGGAATTTGCTGAGACAGCTAATGCATATGTAACACTACTAATGTATATGTAACACAACTAATGCATATGTAACATTGTGTCACATAAAAAAGGCTGAACCAAGGCAATAGGTGTGCATGTTTGGCGAGATTACTCCCCGTGCACCCGGCGCTGTAAATAAACACACCTGCTTCAATACTCTTTGTGAGTTTTGGGGTTTGTTTCTGCAAGTCGTGTCCCAAGTGCACAGAGAAGCCAAGCAGGATGAGGACAGCCCCAGACAGTGGGGTGGGTGCTGAGCAGTGGGTCTCCATCCTGGGAATAGGCTGTAATAACTGGACAATTTGGACTATCCGTATTAGTAAATTGCTGTATAACCAGACTGATAGCAATTACTTAATTGGACTGTTAGCATTTTTATTAGACTAATAATAAATTCTTGGCTGTGCATATAATAACGTATTTCTTTAGCCCCTGTAAATTGTACTGACTGTCCTGGAGCTCTGGCAGCTACACTTCGGTACAGCCACCAATACAGACAACCCTTCCGAGAGCCCTGTGGCATTTTTGTGAACAGCCCGAGGCTGCAGTAAAGACACAAGGTAACAACTTCCTTTACCCAGACTGTAACTTCTAATGCAGTGGAGAAGTACTTGTAACTTGAGCACAATACCCGGTGTAACTGAGGGGACAGCAGTCGGTATGTAGAAGGCCAGTAATGTGGAAAGAGTGGTGCATTGCAGTGAAAGGGGTAAACATGGTAGGTACCAGGAGGGCTGAGCCAGGGGTGGAATGAGGAATGTGTGCAGTATCATTCTGTCTGGAGAAGGAGGAGGATGGATACATAAAATCTGGGGGTTTGGGCTGCTGTTAGGCTGCCTAGGTGTTATTCCCCAGGAAGCTGGAAAGGAGGAGCTGATGAGAAATGGCTTTCACGATGTGTGAGAACACCTTCCCCAGAGCACTTAAAGGATTGCTCTGCAGATCACAAAAGCTGTTTATAACACGATGCCACTGCTTTGTGAGACGTACCCTGGGGCATAATGCAAAGGCATCCATGTCCATGGTGTGCTGGGATGCCAGTGGGGTGGTACCGGTCTCCGGTCTCCGTAGGGCAGAGACACGACAAAAATGGTGCTGTCTGCAAAGAGCAGCTCCTGGGCCAGCTCGATTTTATCGTAGAGGGAACTGGTTGTTTTGTTCTTGTGTTCACCAGGAGTGAACACGCACATGTGCCCTGTGTGCAGAACAGATGGTCTGGGACTAGGATCCAGGAGCAAATATTGGAGCTAAGGGATTCGGCAGCGGAAATTCACCCCATGATAAATGTGCATTTGTAACATGAAATACCAGTGAGACCTTATTAGACAGAACTGAAAAATATCTGTATAGTGCAGGCATAAGAAGCTACTTTCTTACCACAGATGCAAGTAATTAATACATTGTAAGAAAAGACAGCAGGCAGACAGATAAACAGCAATGATGACAGCAATTTCCTGGTGGAAAATGTGGCCCAGTATATGTTCTAGAAGTTATTCTGTTGTATTTGTTAATTAATCTTCTAAATTGTCAAAAGACTGCCATGATATCAGGCATGATCAAGGGACAGAAAATCCTTGTTAGGTGTGAAATCTCAGCTAGATTAGTAAACTACTGCATTCCAGGAGTAGGTGTAAAATGGTTGCCTCCACAATGATTTTATATGTTAGTTCATCTGAAAGATGCTTTTGAATTGGAAACATGAATAATGAATATCATTTGCATAGAACACGATGTGTGTCCATTAATATTGAACTCCCTACATCCCAACAGTTCCCAAAGGTGATGATACTACTTGAGTGGAGTTGTGGCTGCTCAGTGAATTAATGAGAACTTTGCTCCCGAGTTTGTCAGCAGCTGTGATCATGAACTGTAGCTTCACAGGGTCCATGTCTGAATTGGTAAAATTATGCTCTCAATAATATAGTAATGTATCTAATAATGTGCCAAAAAATTATGTCATATTAGTAGTCTGAAGTGGAAAAACTGTTCAGGAGGACTAATTTGAGGGCAAAGGAAATGTCACTGCACTGCAGAAGGTCTATTTTAAAGACATGGACAAGCCACAGAACCCAACATTTTAGGTTCAAATCACCTTTCATCCCTTTAGTCAGGTAAACTGAACATTAAGCCACTTACTATATGTGACCTGGAAAGTTCTATCTGCCTTGCATAAACAAGCCCAATAGTTTAATTTCCTTGTAAAATCAGATATAGATGACTATAAATATTTTCATGCCTTTTGTATTTGACAGTTCCTCACAGCTGATAAAGAATAGGCTGCTACTTAGATATGGTGCCTTTTCTTAAGCACTTTTTTTGCTGTGAGCAAATTGTTCTTTCTGTCGATGCAGTAATACCCATGACATATTTCCCTATATCCAAACATGTGGATGTTTTGCAACGGTTAATGGAAACTAAATTAAAGCTGAGTAATACTGACTATAATGCCAGAGTGTGCAGGCAAGGCTAATTAATACAACTGGAAGCATGGCTCAGTCCTGGCCTGTGACACCACTCTCTTTCTTTCTCCCTCAATCTTATTTTTTACCTAAGCAGGTACCTACAGCACCCTAAAACTACTTGTTTTAAACAGTCTTGAAAGGAGAGATTTATAGCAGCATCCCAGTTTTTTGCACTCAAGACTTAAATGATATTGAATCCTCTAGAAAGCAAAGAAAAGCTGTTGTATTATGCCTTCTTCCTTCTTGCTTATCAACACCCTTCTATCAGTAAGATTACAGTATTTCCTAGATTTCAGTGTTTGCTGAGTTCTTCTATGCAAGGAGCTGTTGCAAATAAACTTGGATTTTATTTCAAGTGGCATATGTCAACAAATGTCTTTTCTAGTGAACGAGCTAACTTTTTATGTTATATTAATGATCCAACTTTGCCATTAGTTTACTGATGGGCAGGAGAACAGCTTTTAACTCTGGTTATTATGCATAGGGTACCTGAAAAAAAGTCTGAAAAGCAGACTGGAGGACTTGAAAACATGAGGGTGATAACAGGACAGAATGAGATCTGGCATCCCTGCTTCTTAGACCACCACATCTTATTTATTGCTGGTACCTTTTTCACATGCTTCACTGAGACAATCTGGAAAGGAGGCACCTGGAAAGGCACCAGTGCAACAGGGGATGCTTGGCCTGAGGACTCTGAAGGTTTAGTTTTGAAACACTGCAGTGTATCAAGTTCTTCAAAATATTTGCCTCACTGTGAAATGAAAACCTACTGTGGACTCACTGTGTACACATTGTTGTAGCTCATGTAGCACCTCCCAAGCACTAATTTTAGAAATGCTACCTCACCCCTCCCAGAGGCAGAGAGAAACCAAGTCCATTAAACCTAAGCTTTGGGAGCTTCACTTGCAACAAGGCCCCCTCCCCCCACCCTGCCAGTCACTTCTTGCACCAACAAGGGTTCTGCTTCTAAGGCACAGTCTGCTGACCTTGGAATCATCCCATTTGCAGGGTTCCCCTGGGCTCTTACATGCCTGACTGAGGGACTGTGGCTTCCTCATGTCCCCAGATCCTTTTTCTTTTGGCACATCTGAAAGCCATTCCTTTGTTACTATTCTTCCTTTTCCACAGGAAACAAACCAGTTCCTGTGTCAGCATCCTGGCCAGGAATCAAAGAAACAAGCTACTTGTCAGGCAACACCCGGGGCACAGGCAATTAGGATGGGGATGGTATTTCAGCAAGAGCCTTTCTGGCACTAAGGAAAAATATCATGTAAATTTACTGCAATTTTGGAAAAAAAAAAGTGCTGTGTGTAAAAGTTATGAGTTTATTTCTATGGCACGGATCAAACAACACCGTAGCTCCTTTTCTACCCTGTGCCTTCCGGTTCAGGCAGGAGTAAAGAACATTTTTTTATTTATGTATTCTATTTGCCTCATAGTTGCCTTATGATATCTTACTAGAGAAAATGTCTCAGATTCCCAGTGTCTTCCACTTTAGCTATGACAGCAACCACAAATTCTCAATCTATAATTACAGAGGTACAACTGCATTTTGACCTCACAAGCCCTCCTTGGCAAATATACTGATTTCTTATGGGGAATACATGTATTTTACCTTCTTTGATTTGACCACACAGTCCATGAGTCACAACATGAGGACATCAGATACAGAAATATTCTGATTCCCTGAGGAGGTGGGAACCATTCGTTATACCTTTGCAGTCTTTGATCTCAGGTCTGGAAGATAAATTAATCACAAACACAGGAATGTCAAATGAGTGAAGTAATAAACAGACACTTTAAAAATTTTGTTTATTTTCATTTTCAATTTCAAGGTCAATCTTCAATAATATGCAGCTAAAATGAGAGTACAAAAATGTTCCCATTAGTCTAATTTGAATTTAGACATATTATTTGCAAATAAAACTAAGCCTGCTTTTTTCAAATACCATTTCCGTGCACAAACTATATAACTCATTCTTTTCATAAGGCATGTAGAGCAGATTTCAGTTCAAACATTAAAATATTTCACACTTGGGCATCGGAATTTAAAACAGAAATTAAAGGTTCTCAAAAAAATGTGCCTGAACTGCAGAAGTACACACTACAGACATTACCATGTACTCATGCAGAGACATGCACATATGAATATCTATGTATATGAACATACTAGGAAGATCAAAAATACCTGTTTTCTGTTTTTTAAGCAATCTCAGTCATTTAACTAACAAGAATGCATGTTTAACCCAGTATTCATATATTGCTTGCACAATAATTATATTTTCCTATTTTTTCAGTACAAAATCATTTCAGTCACACAGTAAAATTTTGTGTCTTCCAGTCAATGTCCTGCAGTAATGCTGAAATTCTGAAATACATTAAGGAAGTATAAGGGAGAAGTTGAAGGAATAATGCAAGATAAAATTGCACTGAGTCTTTGAGAAGATTAATTTGCCTAATGATGAATTGGTAACTGTAAATCCTTGCTCTTCTTTAGTCAATGGAAATGTTCACTTTCTTTTGAGTGATTTCATTTCTCACATAGTGGAAGAAGATGTATTTTACAGGTATACAAACATCAAAGGAAAATCCTATATATACATTGTATAGGAATTATGGAAACATGGAAAAGTTCCTTTCTGTTTGAAAACTGAACTCAGGTAAATCCTAAAAACTCACCAGCTTTTGGCAAATCATTTCAGCAGAAAGCGTGTTGTTACAGTGTACCTGTAGAAATCCTCATGTGCAGCCAAGGGACTTCGAACAAATTATGTCTTTGGGGAGAAAATTATATTTCAAAAATCCTGTCACATAAGAAGACAGAAATGCCCGCAGGTCCTTTATCTGAAAGTCCATGTCTTTAAACATGGTTACTTTATTTTATGTATTTGAGCCTTTTATATTTGGAAGATATTTCATTTGCTACTCAAAGAACAGACCCTGTAAATAAGACTTCACTCCCAAGATGGCCACCTGTCACCCCAGATGATTCTTTGAGCTTGCCTATTCCACTAAAACCAGGACAGGAACCTATTTTTAGGACTTTACATTGTCTTAGGCAGTATAGATTAGATCCTGTCACCCCAATTACACAATTGGTATATTATTTTACAAACAAATTGCTTGTTTCTACTGGTGGTTATCTCTAGTAGAAGGAAAGTAAACATAAATACACATTTCTAGAACCTACTTTGAGTTTTATTAAGGTCATTGGAAGCTTGCACACTAAGAACTAAAAAGCCACCTGGGAAATAATATAATTTCAATTACAGCCTAATGAATAAGAACAGTAATGTATTACATGAGGAGAGTGTATAATATCCCCTCTACCCTTTAATGCATCAGCATCATTATTCACTTTCTGTAGTTTTCCTGTATCATGCAGGTTTATACTGCACTCTCTCTGCCAGTAAATCCTTTAAAAATATGCTATGGTCTGCAAAAGTCTTGCACTAGTTCTGGATTTCAGTTTGCCTTTTTGTTAGAATAATTAATAAGCAATTCCAATTGCATAGACTTGTTGTACTACATGGAAAGTAATAAGTACTCACACACCTAGCAGCAAGCCATTAAAATGATCCTAATATGGAATAAATTGGGGTTCAGTCCCAGAATTCTATTTATACCTGTTTGCTCATGAAAAGGACTTTTTACCATTCATACATGGATTTTCTTCCCAATGCTATCTATTTGTTATGAACAACTTTTAAAGAGTTCTTATAAATGGCCCTCTAAGGATACCCATATATATATATATATGTCTATGGGGGAGGCAAATAAATTTACCTCTTTTGTCTTATAAACATGCAAACCCACTGAGAATATATATTATTATTTCTATATTGAGAAGTAATATGTTGAATTAATTCCTGGACTTTACTACAATGAATATTTATATTTCTTTTAGATGTATATTCATGATAATCGTGGAGCACTGTGATACAGGATGCTTACAATGCAATTAAATAATTTCTGAAGAGCAAATTAATTATATCTTAAAATAAAGTTAATTTTTTGAGCTGACATTACAATATGGCTTTAAGAATTATGGTTATTTTCATGAAATGTTAATGACAATCTTTTTCTAAGTCAGTCTGAGCCTCAACATAATTAAAGGGCCATATATGAAAACTAAGTAGCCATAGCTCTACTTGCCAGCTAAGACTAAGAACTTCATGTAAGGCTGGTCAACATGAAAGTTACTGTTTTTAAGACCAAAATTATGTCAGTACAGACAATAAATTAAAACTAGGTAATTGAAAGTTTAATATATAAAAAGGTTACTGTATGACTTGACTATATATAACCAATATATATAGTTGAAAACAGATTTAGTGGAAGTCACCTGTGTGTCACTTTCTGAGAAGTCTGGGTTTGAGTTTTTTGAAAGTGAGTGCTTTAAAAGAACTCTGTGGGTTTGAATGTGCACACTCAAAAATCTCTATGACTAAAAATGCAGATTCATTTGTTCATTTCCTGATTTTAATTGTGATGAGCTGTACCTCTTATTATCCAGCCTGATCTTAATAGCAATGCAGAATAGGACATACCCAAGGGATAACACAGAAGTTAGTGAAAAAGAAATGGCACGAATTTTGTTGTATGTCTGTGTAGTGCCACTGCTTTAGATAAATGATGTCTAAAGATCCTACAGTGTCTGCAGCTGGTTTCCACAAACCCTGCTTCTGAAGGCACTCAACAGCAGCTGCCTGCTATATTCAACCTGGAACATCTGGAGATCTTCACATCTTCAGCGACAGATGACATTTAAAGTGTAGTGAAGCATTGTTAAATCCATCCTCACCTCCAATTTTCTTTGTCAATTGGCACAATTCTTTGTTTTCCTTCTGTCACTTTGTCTGATGCTTTTTGTAACATTAATGGCAACTTCTTTTGTGGACATTTTCTGTGGGTTCCATTTACTCTGTAAGAGATTTAAACAGTACAGTGAATTCAATGACACTGACAGCAGAGTCATTGGCAATTACCTCCTAACTTATGAAAACAGTTCTACTTTATAAACAGAATGCCTCCAGCATCCTTCACACGGAACTGTGATGCAGAGCAACTTTCTCATTCAGCAGGGACACAAGTTTTTATAACTGCTATACAGGCTGTGGACGACAGCAGACTTTGGATCAACCCTCTTGACTATAATTATGATCTCTGCATGTGTGTACTCTAAAAGCAGAGCAAATAAATCTGGTTTCAGTCCAGAATTGAAAATTAGAGGTTCCTTTTGATGTCACTGGGAGCTGTGCATCACTAGCCTGTGGTGGTTTGGACCTTGGTTTTTCCCCCAGAGGCTGAAAAAGTGGTAGACCCCAAGGGGTGGAAACCCCTGGATGTTTTGAAGTTTTGCCCAATGGGCGCTCCTGC